AAGTCACTTTTCTTGTAATTCATATTGCCTGATATTTACGGCATTAATCAAAGACTATAATTATTGAATAAATCATTTAATCGTTAAAAAGTTAAATCTCCCTGAGAGATATTCATTTCTAATGATCTACAAGTGATCTATCCTTATCATCGAACCCAACCGCTCGGGTCTATAACACTGGTACTATGTGCAGAAAAAATTTCTGCCACTTTCTTCAAGGGTATCTTTCACCGAAACTTTGCAATAAGGCTTTTTAAACGAAATAAATAGAGCATGGCCATCTTCTCTAATGCTTTTTGTGACATACAGCTAATCCTGAAGGGTCTTGGCAGAACAGATGTTTGGGTTTTCTTTGAAAAACGGTAAAATCAACATAGGTTGAATCTTTCCTGGCTTAGGTGTCTTAATTCTCCTAACAATCTTAATTTCTATTAACTCGTTCTTGATTACAATGTTTCTTACATCAATTAGAGCTAAAGTTTGCATCCTTTGGCCAGTAACTAATGCTAACAAGGTAACTAATTTCTTACTTAAGACATCCAAAGGAAAATCTTCATTTCGTAAATCCTTGAAAAAATCTCAAACCATGTTTGGATCCCGTGTGGACTCATATTTGACCCGAGATGATCTTAATCTAGATAAACCTTTGAAAAACCTCCTAATAATCTCATTCTGTCCAATTTCTGGACCAAGAAGCTCCTCTTTCAAATTCTACCGTTAAAAATTTGAGAATAATAGTATTTTTCTCACTTAGGGAGGTAAAGTAAAGAAGGCTGGCCCACGTGCAGAATTACTTATTATTATTAGGTACGCACGTGGGTAAGCCGTCTTTATTTAACTTTCCGTGGTGAGAACATCATTTTTCTCCCCGGCGTAGGAGCAAAGTCAGAATGCCCTCCCGCGCAGCGGGAGGGAAGTGGGCACATTGCTCCCGCCGGGGAGAAAAGGGTATTTCAGCATTATAAACGGAGGATTTATTCGATATGCAAAAATTCCACCACTTCCTCAAGTCCTTCCGTTTTCTAGAACACCCTTCTTCTTGAAAGCTTCCCTGATAACATGCCGACTACCAGGGTAAGGTTCCTCCATAAGTGAGATTTTCTGTCAACCGCAGATAAGGAGTTTGAACTTGCATCAATAATTAAGGGCTCTGTTTCCAGTAAAGAACCAAATATAGGTTCCAACCACGGTTGGGCTGGCATTGAGGGACCGCCACTATTCCCCGTGAACCTTCGGACCTTATTTTTTGTAAAACTTTGTTAATTCATATGAACGGTGGAAACGCGTGGAAAAAAAGGTTTTCCCATTCAATTGTAAAACTGTCAACTGCTATGTCAATTGTTAACAGCTATCGAGTTTGAATCAGGCATCGAAGAAATATAATTATCACATTTATTATTAGTTTTTTGAAGCGAAAACATCAATATCCGGCTTTCCGAATGGTTTAACTATTCTATTGAACGCTTCACTTGATAATTCAAATTGGGTATCACTTTTTTAGTCTTCTGGATTCAAAATCTACCTCTGCATTGTCTTTAGAAGAGATGTAAGAGGCAAAAATTATCAACCCTCGTTGTTCACTCCACGACTAAATAATTTGGGATAGATTGCTCAAGTTCTCAAAACAAACACCACCCATGCGATTGATATAAGATATCGCTGTAGTGTTATCAATTCTAAGCAGAATGTTGCAATCTTTAAGCTCTGTTGCAAAATATTTTAAGCCCAAAAAGGCTGCGAGAAGTTCCAGATAATTAATATGAAAGTTAATTTCCTGATCGCTCCAGAAACCATGGGCTGTTTTCCCATTACCCATCGCCCCCACCCTGTTCCAGACACATCTGAAAATATAGTTAGACTATATTTTTTTACCGCAATGTTGGCAAATCTCCAATTAACATTCTTTTCCCACCACTAAAAATCATCTTGGAAATGACCTGTCCACTCTATTACCGCCTCAAAATTCACGCCTGATTTCAAGAGGGCTAAATACTTCACTCTTTCAAATTTCTTTATATGAGCATAACCGTATGGAATAGATGGACAACAAGAAACGAACCAACCGATGAAATGAGCAAATTCTCGAATTTTATATTTGTCTAAATTTTTCAAGTGAGAAATCTCTTTAATAATTTTTTCTCTTTTTGCGAGAAGAAGTTCCAGGCTCATTTTTCAGCGAATTCAAAATAAAGCCGAGAAACTTGCACGAGTGAAATGGGATCCGAACACTCTTTTCTTCATTAATAATGACACCTTTCTCATTTGATAAATTAATTGTAGAGTTGACGTTATTCAGGCGAACTAATTTTGAATCTCCAATGAGTTGGATATCATCAAGGTACACCACCGATAAAAAAACGAAGCTTCTCGGATAACCAACCACAGACTTCATAATCTTAATAAAAACATGAGGGGCAGTATTTAGACCGGAAGGTAAACAATTAAGCTCATAAAGGGTTTTATCAAAATAGAACCTTAAATATTTTCTAAAACTAAAATTGATAGGAACTAAATAATATGCATCTTTTAGATCCAATTTCCCCATGAAAAAATTGTCACAAATTAACTTCCAAGCTATCGGGTCTCTCTAAACCCCTTGACAGGGGTGCGGAGAGCACGGCTGAGCAACCGACCGTGCGCGTCTCCGGGTGGCGGATAGGAGGCGGCCACTCGGATTAACCCGTCTTCGGTGGGAACCAGGTGGAGACACCTGGAGCCCCACGGGAGATGGGCCAAAAAAGTGGTTTACGATGGTTATAGGGCATCTCCAAATGGGAAACCAAGCGGAGAGCCTAAAGCCTCATCACGGACCAGCTTCCCAAGCCACAGGTGTCATGCGCGCGGGCGTCGTGCCAGTGATCATGCTTCGCTGGCACGGCGTCTCCACACCGTGCCAAGGCTGTATGACGCAAGCGGAGTCGCGTTATAAACGGTGCCCTCGGAGACCAGGCGACCTCCGAGTGTAAGTAGCCAAATTTCCTACCACAACTCACTAATGGGGACCTGACAGTAGCCAAGATAAAAACCCAAATATAAGACAGAAGCTCGGAGTGCATAGTGGGATCAGCCTACTTGCTCTACGACTCATAGAGCTACCGCCAACACGGGAAGTGGAGGAACGAATCAACATAATGCAGGAATACGGGCTAGAACTCCTGCTGGGCTGCGATGCCAACTCCCATCATGTTGGATGGGGGAGCTCCAATATCAATGCAAGAGGAGAAGCCCTACACAACTTCATTATGGAAAAAGACCGTATGCTTTTAAATAGGGGAACGGAACCAACCTTCATGGACTGCAGAAGACATGAAGTGCTGGATATCACCATCTGCACAACGGGTATGGTGGACGTGGTAAGAGACTGGAGGGTCTCTAAAGAGCCCTCGGGATCGGACCACAGTCAAATTCGCACTAAACCTGACTGGAAGGACGGACATAATTCAACGGAGGAATCCAAAGATCACAGACTGGAAGGGTTACAGAGAGTAGCTCTCCTTGAGAGTCCAGGACGTACCCTGCAGATTCAAGAATAAAGAGCAACTAGAGCACGCGGCCGAAAGTTTCGGAGAGGCGGTGCGACGTTCCTTTGAAAACAACTGTGTCCCACGCACCCAGACGGGAACCAAAAAAGTTTGCTGGTGGAATAACACACTAGCGAGCCTACGGAACCAGCTGAGGAAGGCGTGGAACAAGGTAAAGAACTCTTCCGATAGTATACACAAGGTAAGACGCTGAAAGAACGCAAGAATTTCCAGGCAAAGCTCTGGCGAAAGCCAGATACGACGGTTGGAAGAAGTTCAGCAGTGGCATCGGGAGTCTGCCCGAGGCATCGAGACTGGTAAAAGTCTTGGGAGTCAAAGACAAAGTCGTGTATCCACAAGGGGTGTAATGGGCAATCAACTCTTTCGAACACCTAAAGGCACCTGGACCAGATGAGATTTACCCGGTGCTTCTGCAGAGGGGAGTCAATACCATCATGGGTCCACTCACAAAAATTCTCAGAGCCAGTGTGGCTCTAAGAACCGTACCGCAGGTGTGGGGGGAATCCAAAATCGTGTTCCTACCCAAGCCTGGAAAAAATGGCTACGTCAAGCCAAGAGATTTCCGACCTATCAGTCTAACCTCCTTCGTCCTTAAAACACTGGAATGCCTGATGGACAGATCATATAAAAAGCTCACTGCTAATAGAGCGGCCACTGTCTTCATGTCGATACGCCTATAGAGAGGGAAGGTCTACAGAGACCACCGTGCATCATCTGGTGGCAAAAGTTGATGAGGAAATACAGGGAAAGGGCTATGCAATGAGAATCTTCCTTGATATCGAAGGGGTGTTCGATTCGATGAAAGCCATGTCAAAGAGGGTCTATCCACAGACCATCACAGACTGGATACGAAGCATGTTGATGAGCAGGACACTGACGGCAGCTCACAACGGAGTGAAAATAGAAGGACGCCCGGTAGGAGGATGTCTACAGGGTGGGGTTTTGTCCCCACTCCTGTGGTGCATAGTAGTGGATGAACTTCTAGAAAAACTAAAGGAACGAGGCCTCTTAGTATATGGCTACGCCGATGACGTGGCCATCTTCGCGAGAGGCAAGTTCCTAAACACGCTGAGGGATAGGCTAAGCTATTCCCTAAGGCCGCTAAAAGAATGGAGTTGCGAAACGAATCTGACAGTTAACCCTGAAAAGACGTCCGCAATGATATTCACCAGGAAATACAAAGTGGTAACCCCTAGACCACTGAGGTTAGGTGGAGCAGAAATTGCATACGCCACCTCAGTGAGATACTTAGGAGTTCAACTGGACCAGAAACTCCATTGGAAGGAGTACATCAAAACAGAGTTGAGCAAAACTTATGCTTCTCTGTGGGCATGCAAAAAGGGCAGAGATTGTGGCTTCAGCCCCAAAATCAGCATATGGCTCTATAAAATGGTGCTTTTGCAACGACTCATGTCCGCGGCGGTGGTCTGGTGGCTCACGGCGGAAAGGGCGGAAGTAAGGAACCGGCTAAAAGCTCTCCAAGGAAATTTCTTGAGAGCAGCAACCGGGGCCATGAAAACTACACCCACAGACGCACTGGAGGCAGTACTCGATTTGCCGCCGCTAGGCCTGCTGCTAGTGGGAAAAGCAGAATTAACAGCATACAGACTGGTATGTCCAGGGGAATGGATCCCAGCCAGGGCAGCATATACGGAGTTAAGTATCCAGAAAAAAACCGCCTGAACAACGTTCAGGACAGCACCACCAAGAAATATTAAATCAGGAAGTCCTATAAGTACTATATACCTGATAGAGAACACTGGAAAACAGTCAAGAGGACACTAGGAAAGCATGTTATGCACTGGTAAACGGACGGTTCAGAACAAAAGGACCGCTATGGAGCGGGACTATAGGAACCGATGGAGCACTATGAGGATAGCTGGTCCCTGGGGACCGACGCCTTAGTATTCAGAAGTCTTGGCCATCAAAAATATATATTTGGACAGACAGTCCGGCTGCCATCAAAGCACTCATAAAACCTAGCACAAATTCAAAACGAATCTGGGAAACCATGGAGGAGCTAAAAAAGCTGGAAAAACACAACAAGACAACCTTGGCGTGGGTGCCAGGACACGGAGGCATCCACGGCAACGAGAAAGCGGGCAGACTGACGAAGCAAGGGTCACTAAGTGAAACCGTAGCGCAACCAGTTGGTGTCCCCTCAGTCGTGGGCCAAAAAGCCATTAAAAACAAGATTCAGCGGGAACACACTCATCGTTGGAAAAACATAGAGAGCTGCAGGAAAGCCAGGGCAGCTATGCTTGGCCCAAGCAGCACGAGAGCCAAACAGCTTCTCAACATGGACAAGAAAGACCTGAGTACAGTGATCAGGTTACTCGCAGGACATGGGATATTTAAAGCCCATTGCAAAACCATAGGCATCAGCGAAGATGCCCTGTGTAGATTTTGCAAAGTGGAACCAGAGGACTGCCTGCACATCATGTGCGACTGCCCAGCATTAGCCGTGACGAGATTGCAATGCTGGGGAATCGGCTTCCTCACTAGTGATCGGATCAGTAGAAGAAAAGCTTCGGACTTCTCAAGACTGGCTATCAAGGCCGGGATAGAGATTTAATCTGCAACCTAAAAATGAGCGGAGCCACGATCACTCACAACGGAGTTCGGTGGCAATAGGGAGGCTTGTCCGCCCATCCGCAACACAAACTTAACTTAACTTAACTTCCAAGCTATTTTATAAACTTCAATCTTAAAATGTTCTGTCGCAATAAATTTATTTAGATTTTTAAGATTTAAGATGAGTCTACTTGAACCATCAGGTTTTGGAATCAAAAAAACATTTGATATGAACTGGTCTGATTCGGGGAGCCAATCGCTAATGGCTCTTTTCAACATTAATTTATTAATATGATCCTTAGCCAAATTTTTTTCTTGAAAAGTCCAGGCACGTTCGTGAGGAATTGATAATTGATGTGGTAGTTCCACAAAGGGAATATTATAACCTGGAATCCAATCGAAGATTCTTGAATCGAAAGTGATTGTTTTCCACTTATCAACAAAGAATCTTAATCTACCAGCGGGTCTTCTTACATCTAGGACTTCGGTGATTGAGATGATGACAGGTTTTGAGGGTTGCTGCGAAATCCTTTGGATTGATTGGTCCAATTCTTTTCGAAATTGTGGCTCGGACATGCTCTGCCTCTGTTCACGCCTGTGGACACCTTTCTGAGTGGTTGATGTTTAGGCGGGAATTTGAAGTTTTTTGGTTTTGTTGAATTTGGAACTTTTCCTTTCAGGTCTTTACTCGATTTTTTAATCAGTTTGGCGGCTTTGAGCCTATCGCTCAACATTGAACCAAAAACCCATTCGTCACGTTTCAAGGCTGATTCATTCAAGAAAGCGTTAACTTCTTCATTCAACCGTGGAGGATCCATGACGATACAATTTTTGGGTAAACGATGAGCTTTTAGTAATTTGGCTTCTTCCTCTTTGGGTAAGCCGTTTTTTAGAATATCCGTAAGACGGATAGCAATGCTCTTTGGAATGACTGGACCCAAAATCCTGGCTTTATTCACCCTTTCTCCAATCAATTCTAGAATTTCAATGTATACGTCTTCGAGAAGGACTTCAGGTTCTCCAGAATTAGCGTTCTGGGCATCCTGAGAATTAGGCATTTCTGATAGCGATTTTGGTTCAGGATGAATTTCTGCCTGTGTTGTCACGGATTGGCCTGAAGTTGTCTCAGAACTTAACTGCGGCTCATCTTTACCCTTATCAATAGAAACTAAAGATTGGTTCGCCGGAGAAGGCGAATGAGAGCCATTAATGTCCCCCACAGAAGGTGAACACAGGGAAAACTGGGATTCGTGTATCGATCGAAATGATCTTTCTTCCCTTTCAGACTCACTTACAGAATCTGATTTTCCTAAAAAATCAAGGGAATAAGAAATATTTATTTACTTCATTTACCTTTCTTTATAAGTATTGTAAAATGTTGTTTGATTTCGACCGTTCGACGGTCATTTTGATGTCCACACGAGCAGTCACCGGGAACAAGAGTCGAAATTTGGATATTTTGGCATTTTATTAATTTTATTATTTTTGGTTTTCTTTATTATATCGAGTCATTGTCATCGCTTACCGATGAACAATTGCATCGCGGGACTTCAGAGGACAACGAGGGATTATATGTATGGATTTTGGTGGTTCCAGCAATTTTGGAAAGGAGTATGTAATTTGAAGGATGTCCTGTCCGCGCGCTGAGTCCTGGTGACTAGTGAGCACGACAGATGGCGCCATCGGATGGGCCAGAGATTTGGAGGAATTCGCCTTGGAGTTTTGGGAAATTCCGAGCGAGAGAATTGCTAATGAGTTTAGCGAACTTGAGATGCAATAAATTAATTCAGGCAGTGTGTGTTTGTCATTGCTGAATTAGCATTGTAATAATTGGGTTATGCTGTTTTACCGATACCCGATTAAAATATTATTTGGCTGGTGAAATGTTAATAAGTGTCACCGGACTTTGATAGATGGCCAATCAATAAATCGATTATCGCCCATTGTTAGCCAATCTAATGATTGGTAACGTTATTTCGGACGACGCTCGATTTGGCGGCGTTCTATCGAATCACTCGTCGTTTGGACATCATTCAAGGCAGTCACATTACTTGTGGAATTTATTTCGGTGTATCGCGGAGGGAAGAAAAATTGATTTTGGAGAAGTCCTACTAATTGTTTCGAGGACGATTTCATTTATTGGGAGAGGTCTAATGGCTGGATAAATTGATAGGATATCGATTAGCGATTGGACACTTCCGATAAGTATTTTTGGTTCACTTGTCAATTGGTTAACATTTTGATTTTGTTAGGACGCTTGGCGTCCATTGTCTTATGATCAATTTCTCCAGGGGGGTTTTGCCATTGCTGCGGAAAGTTGTTTGTAATTTTCTAGCGACATATTCCGAAAATTTTGGTGTTATCGACTCTTGTTCAGGTTATAAGGCTATTTTCTTTAGATATTTTGTGAATTTAACGGAAATTGGAATTATAACGTGTGACGAGGCAGAATTTTGCACCCCCCCATGCCCCCTAATTAATACTTATTATTTTTCCTAGGCTAAGTTAGGTTTAAGTTACTCTCTTTTTTTTTGCCATCGTGGGGCTCCCACTCCCGAATAGTTCCTTCCCTCCACCCCGTTTCCCCTCGCCGTGTTACTCCCATTGTAACGTGGCCAATTTTCCTAGCATGAAAAACTGGACGTTATCCGCCCTTTTGCCACCGATCTTATAAAAATATATGGGCGCCAGTTGATCTTTAAATAATCGGAACCAACAAACCGGTTTAAAACCAAAGCGGAACCAAATTCTCCAGAAATGAAACCAGAAACGTAGATTAAAAACAACAACAAAAAACGATCGGAGGAAAGATGGTAATTTCTCGCGCTGCTCAGCGGTGAGGTTGTGGAGAGAGGGGTCAGTCGGGATGGAAACGAGGTTTGGGCACCGGAACTCAAATTAAAACGAAAGACGGGAAAACGAAACTCGAGCCATTAAACAGAATTGATAGATTCATTTCTAAAGAATTTAGGCGTACAAAAGAAAAGCAGAAATACAAAGTAAAATAGAAGCGAGGGCGAGAAATACAGAAAAGGGGGAAAGAGGAAGAAAATCCTCGGCGGATCCGCAGGGTCGACATAAGCCTTATCGATAATAACAAGAAATAAATTTAACATCTATAATACTTCTCGGCCTGAGAGGCAGAAAATTATTTCTATCTATAACACACAGAAATCGCAATGGTCGCGAGAATAAGGGCGTATGGTACGCAGGGGCGCGAGAGAGGCACATAAATTTTCCACTATTTATGAACAATGTTAATCCCAAAAAAGGAAAATCGATAACCCCAAGCCCGGAATCGCAAGCTATAAATTCACTCCCCAAAGGGAGAACGCGAGGAAAACCGCTATCGAAGGCCGCCCAGGGCAGCGGACCTTGTCGGGAAGCGCAACGGCCCTGGGCAACATAAGCCGAGCATAACACTCGGACGCACGTGGAGAGACCACAACACCGGCGATGATTCTTGGCGGCACCCCGCATAGGGGAATTCCACCGGGGAAAAATCCCCAAAACACGCGCAAAAAAAGGCAATCATTCCATGAAATTTTTAGGGGAAGGGGAAATGCACTTTTAGCGGTGCAACCACATGACCACTCGGGCAAGGAAAAAGGGGAAAGATAAAATCGCGATAGAAAAATCCGATCAAATCCTAATCCTAATGTCTTGTCCGGTACTTGAGAGAAAAAAAAGGGGCTGGAGAGATGTTCCCAGCTCGATGGCTCGACCGAGACTCTCTAAAATAATTCCCCGAATTTTCCTGGCGTATTCCAAACGCCATTTCTCGATTATCGCGACGAGGAGAACTAAAAAAAAAGGAAAGAAACGAAAGGAAATGTAATATTCCCCGTGGAATATTCATCGGCCAGCGGCATGGCGTTTTACGCAAAGAAAAAGTCTCAAAAACACACTGGGATTACTCCCACATCACCCTCCCGCTTTTCCGTACTAATCGGAGCCTTAATTTTTCGTGACAGGCTCAAAAAAAAACCGACGTGAGAGGAAAATTCTGGGAAGCAAAATCCACCACGAAATCCACCATGAGTGGAAGATGCACCCTCACCGGGTTTTTTCTCCGTTTTTCGGCCCTGTGACTCCTCAAAATCCTGGTTAGTCCCTCCACTCACTTCCACGGGAACTCTAGCACCTCGGGAACCGTCCAAACACTCAAAAAAAACCTTCTTTCTTCCAAAAAATGCGGCACAGTGAAAAAAAAACTTGGCACGTGTGTTACCGGTGTATAAAACTTCGACTAAAAGTGTAACAGGTGGTTGTCGCGTAACCACGAGTATGAGCTTCGCTCCGAGCGCCTAGATGGCGCAGTGACTGACCGCCTGGGCGGTAAAACAGAACTAATTTTACTGGCACTATTTCTTTTCGGTTTTTTCTCGCGGTAACGGTTCACCGAAACCCCAAAAAATTTTAAACGCGGTGCCTCCCTCGGTCCTCCCGCATACTCACAAATATAAGGGATTCCTGCGGAATTCCTTACAACATCAACCGAAGACGACGAAAGGACAAAACCCCCACCTGATGAACTCGGCACCACGTGACCCAGAAGGAGGAGACATCCCTCTGCCGGCCCCCAAAGAGTAATAAATGGGAAAAGGACACTCAATTACGAGTGCCCCCGATTACCCTCGATTATCGGCGATAATCGGAGAAGAAGAGTGACGAGTGATCGACAATCATCACTCGTTATACAGCCGCCCCGGACGTGAAAGAGTTTTTTGCAAAGAGAATATTTTTTGAAGAGAAGAATTTTGAGGAAGAGTGTTGAAGGATAATTTTGCGGAGAAATTGTGGAGAAAATTTTGAGACCCAGGAGTGAAGAAGGAGAGAGAGGAAGTGCGTGCCGAGAAGTTACGAAAGGAGAAGAAAGGAGAGGAAAGCCCAGAGGATTTTCCCCGTCGTGGATTTGTCGCCATTACCGTGAGTACCCATACGTTTGTTCCCTACCCCCACGAATTTTCCCTTAACATAATTTCACCCAACGGTGAGCCT